CTATTTATATATATATATCCAAATATCCTTTTCAGTTGTACAGTTATAAAGTTAGTTACATTTCAATATATTCCTTCCCAGATTTACATTTGTTCTAGAAATTTATTTATTTATTTATTTTATAACTATATAGTATTATAGGTAGTTGTATGTAGATATCGTTGTTATTATTGTTTAACAATGCTGTGTCTCCAAGCATTATATGTGCATCTTTTTAACTGCAATTCTATTATTGGTTTTTATATTAGAAATTCAGAATTCAATTATTTAAAAGAGAAGAACAAGTTGAGAATATATTTTTGTATTATTACGAGTCGATTATAAAAAATTTTCCTAAAGTTGTATACTAAAGTTTCTACAATCTATTTCCTACTTAATAATAAAAATTATCATAAAGTATTCAATAATTTATTTAGATTTATAAATCTAATTCTCTAATTTTCATGTTATCGTTAAAATAATAATAATAATAATAATAAAGCTGAAAAGAGCATCAATTTTGATGTTAAATGGGCTTTACGAGCCCAATTTTGACTACATTGTCTGCATTAATTAATTTTGCAAAACTATATTAATCTTTCTTTTTTTTTTTTTAAATATGAAAAACACTCTTAATCATAACCTTGTAATTATCATGTTTTAATTATTAATTAATCGTAAACGTTGATTTGATTTGATGAAATCATGTGATCGAGATGTTGGAAAACTTGAAAGTATATATTTCCTTCATTAATTTGGTCGGTTAGATTTTCTAATTACTAACAACATGTGCTTCCAAATGTTTTATCTTTTTTATGTATTTTATTAATTAGTTCTTAGATGTTTATAAATAATAATATATTTTAAAAAAAAAAAGACACAATCATACAATATTTCATAAACTTACAGTAAAAAATTTAAAATAATACTTAGATTATTATATTTTTTTGTACGAATTGAAACTTACTTGATAAAAAATTTAGTTTATAGTTATGACTATTATTCATCAAACTTTTAATTGTCAGTTTCTCTATTATCAGGTCACTGATTTTTTTAGCCTTCGGGTAAGTGTTAGCCATCAAACATGGTCGCATAATTTTGTAAAAATTTGTATTTTGGTCGTCCGAACCTAATTAATGTTTTTTTTTATAACAAGACATTTTTTGTTCGAAATTATGAATTTATTTTATCAAATTTTTTTAAAACTCATATAATCAAAAAAGGAAATATAAATGTAAAAAAATTATTAAGCAAAAAAACAAATAATAGAACTTGAAGATATTAAAATAGAATGGATCTCATGATTAATTTGTGAAGTTAATCATTAATAACTAATTAAGTACCCATAAATAGTTGAGCAATAATTAATGTGGTTTACAACTAAAATTATGATCTCCATTAAAATTAATTGTGCTTAATTCAATTGTTGTGGCTTCTAAAATATTGAAGATTTCTTGGATGATTAGGGTTCCTAATTATTTGTTCTTTTGTATTAAAATAATTGTATAACACACTCATATATATATATATATATAATATGTGGTGAGAATCATCAGAGAGTTTGACCAAGTTTTGGATGTTAGCGAGTTGATGAAATATATAAGGTGACATGTGCAGGGATGTTTTAGGTCATATCAATGGCCATATTTAATTAAAAGGAATATACAAATCATTGATTTATATCTATATATATATATATATATACATACATATACATGTAATGAAAGATAAGAACGGTTGCCTAATCATCCAATGCAACAAATCTAAATCCTCCACTTCAAATTGAATTAATTCCATTAAACAAATTAATCTTATTCATAATCTAATTAATCAATTATACCATACTATATTATATGATCTGCACATGATTGTTTGGTATTAGAAAATTTGAATAGCTTATAGCCTCTCTACTAGGTCAAACGAGGGATCACATAGTCAAAAATTTAATTCAACGTGCTTATTACTATTCTAACCACCGTAATTATATATATATATATACATAAATCTGTATTTATAAATGTTATCTATATATTTTTCTTAGTTATATTATGTTTAATGTTAAATGATGTCCTTGTTAATTTTATAGTCTTATATTAACTTGTTTTTAAAAAAAATTATTAAAAAATGTATAATAAAATAAAATAATTTTATAAGTAAAGTTATCATATAATAAGTTAATATTAGATTTCGTATTACGCTAATCAATTTATGTCGATATGTAAAATTTTTTTTGTCATTCATCTTATCCATAGATAATAAATAATAGTAATTATTATTATTATTTATATATACTTATACCATATTTACAAATATAATACACGATATAATATATTTGTGTTTATTAATATCTTAATTTTATATTTTTATAATATATTTTTTGAATAAGTTATCAAATTAATTTCCAAATTTTGATATTTATTACATGTTAACATCTATTTTTCAACATTTTATATGTATTTCAAATGTCCAATTTTCATCAAATCTTTTCTTTAGAAAATAATTTATTTTAAATTTTAAAATAACTAAAAAATCTAAAGCAACTTATTTTGTGTCAAAAATGAGCTTTTATAAAAAAAATTTAATTTCTTTAAAATTTAAAATAATTTTCAAATATAGTTTAATTATTTTAGATTTTTTTTATTAAGGAATGAACAAAAATTGACTTTTGTAATAGATATAAAATTTTAGAGACTAAATTATAATAAATATCAAATTTCAAGAACTAATTTGATAATTTTTCATATATCTTTATGGGGTTATATGTACTTCTCTAAAGATTTTGTGT